TGGGGGGCAGCTTGGAGCCCATTGTCATTGTGGTGGTAGCCCCTCTGGACAGAGCGAACGGTCTGGGGTCCTGTGGAAGAGGGAGTTAGTCACGGTGGTGGTGAGGAATCCACCTGCAGCCTTATTTGGTGTGGGATATTATGAACAAGAATGCTGGGCAGTGTGTGTGTGTGTGTGTGTGTGTGGTGTGTATATAAGTGGGAGTGCTGAGTGGTGTGTGTAAGTCATCTATCTGCCTTCGTGGAGTTTGTGGATGTCTCTGTGGACTATGTGTGGAGTGTATGGGTGGGTATGTGGTGGTGGTGGGGGTCTGGTATGCTTTTAGGCCCATAGTAGGTATGCTTGCAAATGTGTCCCTGTGGGTCATATACCTGTAGGAGGGTGTCCAGAGTGTGTGTGCATACAGAAGGGTGTCCACATACAATGTGTATGTGAGGGGAATAGTGTGTCCATATGTGTTTTTGTGGGGTATGTGGACAAAGGGAGAGTGAATGAGCAAGTGTGTGTGTGTGTATGTGTGTGTGTGTGGCTGAGAAGGCGTGGGTTGTATGGATGTGTGTGGTGCAGGTCTGTACTGGATAGGTAGGGTGTGTGTTTATGTGTGTGCATCTATGTGAAGGTCACATGTACACATGTAGATGTGTGTTTTTCTGGGCACAGGAAGCTAGGTGCCTAGTGTACTGGAAGGAGTAGGTGTGCGGGCCAGGTACAGTGAGTTTTTGTGCGGAGTCGGAGGGTGAGAAGTGTGTGTACGTGTGTGCCTGTACAGGGTGTGCATTGTGCGACTCTGCGGGGGCGCCGCGTGTGTGTGTATGTGTGTGTGGGGGGGGTGGGTGTGTGGGTGTGTGTGGGTGTGTATGAGTGCGTGGGATGGGGCGATAAAGTCCAAAGTAATACACTGATCAAACATTTTCTTAGCCTAGATAGCCATTTTCTTAGCCTAGATAAGACCATTGTTATTTGATTAGAACTACAAAGCTGTGAAATGACTGAATATGAATTGGATAACTTCACACATCAGACATTAATCCAAGTTTTAACTTTGACAAGAATATACTTTATGCAAAATATGTAGAATGAAGCAAAACACAGTATACTTAATGAATACGTATTTATAAAAATATATATTTTAGTTTTTGTCTGTACAGAAGATAAATTGCTTGCTTAGTTCTTCCTCACTGGTCAAGTGATATAACACATATCTGTGAGTTTTATTGACTTAGAGATGCCTATTCTTCGGACATTCTGACATGGTGTATGCTTCGCTTTTAATAATTAGCATTTTTATCTCCCAGAATATGTTTTAATCACCAGCAACAACCCTATATGTAATTGAAACACAAAACTGGAATTATGATGTTTTGTTTTGTTTTGGAAAAGTTTAATTATTGAGACTAATAGTTAAGCAAATAGTTAACTAATCATTTTGATTACTATTAAGGACTGAATGTTCACATTCCTCTAAAACCTAAATGTTGGGGCAGGGGCAGGGGCCTGGGCAGGCCTTGTGGGGAGGTTGTGGGGGGCGGACCAGGCCACCAACTCTCTGCGATCTTCGAGCTGTGTGCGTCCTGCATTCTGAGCCCAATGCCCCAGAGTGGCGAGTGAGTGAGGAGCTGGAGAGATTCCGGTGAGGATGGCGGGATTGTGGCTGAGAGCTCTTCCCGGGGCGCTGGAACCCCATTCTAGGTGGTGGCCTCTAGTGGGCTCAAGCCTCCTGGGTTACAGGCAGTGGAACGGTGGAAGGGACCAGTGTTGTTTGAAGAAATGCTGGGGCATCAAGGATCCTGGGGAGTTGGGGCTGGCAGGGACCTTGAGCCATAGGCAGGTGGGGGTGACACTAAATGGAGTGGTGGGCACCACCCTGTCCTCCCCCCGGTAGGGGACCTGAGCACAGGGGCACACAAGGGTTTTCTAGTGAGCAAAGTAGGCTGAGGTGGCAGAATGGGCCCCAGCAGGTAGAGAGTGATCTCAGGGTGAGGACTGACAGGGTGGGAGTGGGGGGTGGGGTGGGGACAGTGTTTCTGATGTCCAGGATCGAACAGGCTGGTAGGGTGTGAGTCATAGTGGGCACGATGCCCAGCATGAACGCTGTGCTCCCTGCAATGACCTCTTTATGCTCCTGTGAGGGGTGGGTGGGAGGAGCAGGACTCCTGGGTTCTAGTTCCTGGTGTCCAGTTCTGTCTAATTTGTGGCCCCGGGACCGTCTGCCCTTCTCCCAGAATTAGCTGATATTTCTGGATGTCTCTTTCCTGACAGGAGGGTGAGAGCCTTTGGAAATAGATCTGGGGCAGGAAAGCGTTAATCAGTGATGTCCCTGTGCCCCCTGAGCCTCTCCCTCTCCATCCCCTTGTCTCTGTGCCTGCCTCAGAGAGCAGAGTTGGGAGGATGTGTATGAGCTGTACCTCTTCCCAATCTAATCACCTTTCTAGTTCTCATTGCTGGCTCCTTCTCTGTTTCTGTGTCTCTCACCTTCCTCCTCTTCAAGATGAGAACAAGACCCAGTGTTGTCCCAGGTCGGAGGGGAGGAGAGGAAATGTGCAGGAATAATAGCATGAAGGATTGAAGTTAAACCTAAAGAAGGACTTCCCACAGGATGGCTGCTAGAGCGGGCTGTTCATAGGGACTGCCGTGTCTCCAGGCAGGAGTGTGGTAGCTGTGGCAGGAGGATTACCACACTGACATTCTCAGGAGCCAGTTGGAAGGGATGGGGGAAGGAAGACTGGAGGGAAAGAAAAGAGGGAAGGGAGAGGCTGAGATAAGGGTGGGGGCACCAGGGGTGCCGGGGTGAGGAGAGGCCCTGAAAGAAGAAGGCAAGCCCATTGCCCTGGGTTATAGGCAGGCCTCCCAGGGGGCGGCACCGCTAGTCAGCTGGCGGCTCCAGGCAGGATGTGTGCTGGGGGAGGGGTGGGGGGCGTGCGGGGACCTGTCTCAGCCACTTCTCGTCACTGGGGCAGCTGGTGGCTTAAACCTTAATCCAGGACACCAGCAAAACAATGGGCCCTGCATACAGCCCCAGCTCTGAGCCTGGGTGGAGGGTGTGCAGGGGAGGCCGCCCACACTGGAGAGGAGCAGAGGCTTCTGGAAGGAGGGGGCAGTGGAGGGTCCCCTGAGGCCCTCTTCTCTCCCTGATCAGTTCCTTGCCAGGGCAGCGGAGATAGGAAATCCAGGGGATTTCAGTCCTCAATAGAATTCCCAGAGAATTTTCTCCTCTGGACTCCTCAGACCCCCACAGGACTATGGGTCGAAGTGGGAGAGTCCAGGCTATCACCATAGGTGGAAGGAGCTGAAGGGCCATCACTGGACCTTCGACCCAATGCCGGAATCCTAGCTAGGACCGGGACTGGGGGTCGTCTAGCTTTTGCTTCGACCCTTGCAAGAACAGGGAACTCACGACCTTATCTACGTAGTTTTTCGGATGTATATGTTAGAATGGTCACCCTGGCATCTCCGCATCCTGAGATATCACTCAGCATCCCGGTATCTCTCACCTGCCTGTGTCCCTGGGGCTGTATGAAGTAAGCCTATTGCCTCTGTCATATTTTTCTTTAATCTTCCCACCTTATGCAGAAATTTCTAGCGTAGCACTGGGCACAGGGCCGGCTCCCTTCAACCAGATGTGTGAACAGGAGAGTGGATAGATACATGAAGAAACTTCTTAGTATCAGTACATTTGCGTGGCAAATTTGAGCTTTCTCTGGCTATTAAGCAGGGAAGAAAGGGAGACTTAATATTCAGTGGGAGCTCCTCACCCCAGAACTGGGGGCTTCTTCCCTCTGCACCAAGCTCCACCTTTCTACCCTGTACCAAGGAGGAGCGAAGGGGTTGAGGACTGTTGAGGGTGGGGATGGAGGAGCTTCTCAGAGGGGTCAAGTCAGGCTGTCTTGAGGTGGGGCACTGAAGAGCCCCCGAGGGAGGCCACCTGACTTTTCACTAGGTGGCCTGCCGCGGACGCCCATCTTCTCGTCTGCCCTCTGCCTCCCCGTGCACGCATCTCTCATCTCTGACACCCCACTTTTACCCCTTTCCCACTCTGCATCTGAGCAGAATCCCAGAGGGGAGCCCTCCCTCAGGCATTGTTCGTCCTCTTCTCTCTCTTGCCCCACAGACCTGCATGTCCACAAACCCTTGTCTTCAGACGCCCTTTGCCATGTCATCTTGGGGAATCTCAAGTGTTCCAGTGGGTCAGCCAGAGGGCAGTGAAGTGCCCCCCCATCACCCGCTTGGTTCCCCACTCAGTTCCGGTGAACCAGCCAGGCCTCTGGGCTGGGCTCCCGAGCCTCAGGAAGTCCCTTCAGTTGCTGATGTCTAGTTCACTCCCTTATGGCTCTTAGTCGCCCCCCATTCCCACTGCTGCTCCTGAAGGAGGCGTGTCTGGGCCAGGTTGTCTGTGCATGTGTGTGTCTGTATGTGGCATGTGCCGAGCACTTGAGGCTGATTATGTGTGACTGTGTGTGCACATGTCTGTGTGTCTACATAAGAGTGCATGTGTGTACTCACCTGTGTGTCTGTGTGCACTTTGCACATGAGTGTGCTTGTCTGAGCATATGCTCTGTGTGCATGAGTGCCTGTGGGTGTGTCTGCATGTGTGTGTGTCTATTTGTGTGCATGTGTAAGATTGTGCAACGGCAGGAATGAGCTCAGATAGCAGCAGGCATCTCCCAGGCAAAACAGTTCTGTGTCCAGTGCCTGGCACATAGTAGGTGCTCAGTGAACATTTGCTGAATTGAACTGAACCAACACCTGACTCGTGACAGTGAGTTCTTTCCCCGGTGGCAAAGGCTTCGTGGAGGAAAGGTAAAGAAAGAAGGAAAAAGCTGTTGGGCTGATGATGGTGAGAGAGGACTGAAGGGCTGAGGAAGTCAGGGGCAAAGGAGAGTGCTTGGAACCCCAAGGTCTGTGGAACCCTTTCAGTCCCCTTCATGTCCTCTGGGCTGCAGGAGGCAGTGTGCAGACCCAGAAAGTGGGCCACTCACCCCTGTCTCCCTGTGTTCCCACAGCTGCCACTGGGCCCGAGAGATGAGTGCTCTCCTGGGCGCCCCCTCCCCTGGCAGGGGCCGAGGACACTGCTGCTTCACAAAAGTCTCCAGGATGGCTTTGGCTTCACCCTGCGGCACTTCATCGTGTACCCGCCTGAGTCCGCCGTGCACTGCAGCCTGAAGGTACGCCCAGAGCCCGCTGCCCTGGCCCATCCTGTGGGAGCCTTGGTGGGGAAGGTGATATTGCTTTGCTCTGTCCCCTCCCTACAAGGTCCTTCTTCTCCTTCTGTGGCCTGGGGAAGAGGGTCCCAGAGAGGTGGGTGCTGCCCTGGCTGAGTCATTTTCGTCTTCTCAAGAGAAGAGGCAGGGTGGCTGTTTCAGGACAGGGAATCTAGAGGCGAGAGAGCTGGGATGCTCACCTACACCCTACACCCCAGACTCTTGGTCTCCGGAAGGTGAACAACCTGCTTGGAGAGATGGAGTCCTGGGACCCCTTGTCCACTGGCCGCTTCTGAACTGGGTTTGTTGCCCCCTCTCAGACTCAGCTCTGTGTGCTGGAAAGAGCCCTCGCTGGGTTCTAGCCCTGGTACGACTCCTAACTCACTGTAGGTCTCTGGGTTCCCTGGCTCCTGCTGTAACCCAAGGGCATTTCTCTAACTCCACCCTCAGGGTCCTTCAGCCCTCATATAAATGTCAAGTTCTCTGAGTCCAGGAATCAGGGGTGCTCAGCCCACCACACAGTGTGGGCTGAGGGGAGGGGTCCCTGACAGTGAAGCAGGTGTGCAGGAAGACATGAGAGGCCCCTAGGCAGGAACCGTGGCTCTCCAGGAGGGCCCTGCTCCCTTCCCCACCTCTCTCTCAGCAGCGGAGGAGACAGATTTATTTTAGAGTCAATGAACCTGTTTCTCCCCTTCCCCCAAGGCTGGGACCAGCCTGCACAGCTGTTGGGGGACTTTCCCTTGGGAAGCTTGGTCCTACTTCCAAAGAACCGAGGCATTGAATTTCACTGCCTGTGTCTGTGTGCTTGCATGGTTCTTTGTGGGCACATGAGCATGCACGCTATGCTGGTCATGTACACACACGTGTGCATATTGGTGTCTGTAAATACACATCATATGTACATGGCTGTGCAATTCTCCTAGCCATGTCTGAATCTGGAGGGGCCTGTATAAACTACTTTCACTGGCTGCAGCTATGCTTCTGAGTGTAAGCGGGGGCGGATGGTGTTTAGGAAAGGCACTGCCCGACCCCTTGCTGCCCAAGGACACCAGCCCCCTAGTTTGTTGGAACCTCCAGTCTTTCCTTCCTTCCCTCCCCAGAATGCCCCTCCGTCCTGGCCCTTCTAACTTCTCTCAGGGATCCCTGCTGAGAGGTGATGGGGACAAGAGCAGCCCGAGTGATCTAGGCTGGGTGGTAGACCTGTCTCCGAGAGACCGGGTTCACATGGGGTGTTGGAAGACCCCAGGGCAGAGTAAGTCAGGGACAGGCTCTAACCCCTTTCTAGAACCTGCCCAGGACAGGGAGCCTGCAGGGAACTCAGCCGTCTTAATGCGTCTGTCTGCCTCTGCCACCCGCTCGCTGTGCTGTCAGCTCATATCAGCAGGCACACACCCCACACAGGAAGGTAGTGGCAGAGGGACTCTCCAGCAGTGCTCAGTGGCCTTCCTGTCCTGGCTGGCATGTCAAAGAGTCCTGGGTTTGAGCCCTGCCTCTGCTATCGAGTCTCTGAGTGGCCCTGGACAAGTCACGCCCTGTCATCTGTAAAATGGATGACTTGTGGAGAGGGTTAGACAAGATGACAACGAAGGTTTGCTCCTGCTCTAAAATGCCACCTTCTGCTGGCTCGTCGTGTCTCTTTACTTCTCTTTTCTTTCATTTCTATTCTCTCCCCAGATCCAGTGCCCTTCCCCTTCACTCACCAGGATGATCTCAGAGACCTCCCTCATGAGTCTTCTTGACTCCATTTTTTAAACCCTGCACCTAGATGCCAGAATCCTCTTCTCGAACTGCTATTTTCACATCCGCTCTCCCACTCAAGAACCTTCACTAGCTCCCTCTTTCTCTCTTTCAGACTCGAATGCTTTAGTCTGACTTCTGTGGCTTTGCTGGTGTTGACTTTTTTTCTCTTTCAGCTCAGCCGATCCAGTCCTACATACGCTTGTTTATTTCCGGCACCAAGTGCCTGCATACTCCACTCCTCTCACCCAGAATGCCTTCCTCCAGGCTTTAAAATCTCCTCCCCCAAAGGGACTCTAATCAGGCCTTCCCCTTCCATTCTCTGAGACCGATAGCCACTGTTTGTACTTGTCATGTCTGCTTATCTGTGTCTGTCTGGGTCATCTCTCTGTGTTAGTGTGTTTGGTTTGAGTTCCCCAAGGGAAGGCGTCAGGAGTCCCCTATTGAATTGGGGGCTTTCAGATGACTGAGATACTGACATGGCGGGGTCAGCAGGCATGAGAGAAAGCTCATGTCATGGGGAACAATGCCTGGGACTTCATGTCCCCGTGGACATCCTTCTTGCCCCCTCTGGGTGCTGGGCTAGTTGAAAGAAGATAAAAGGGGAGGCTGTTGGGTGGAGGAACTTGAAGGGGCCCACCCAGCTGGAGCTGGGCCTCCCCCTGTGCCGCTGAGCACTGGACTGAGGGGGCCCACACCCACCTCTCTGTCTTCTGCAGGAGGAAGAAAATGGAGGTCGAGGAAGAGGTAAGGATTGGCAAGTGGTGGGTCCCAAGGGCCGGGGCTCATCCTCCAGCTTCTGTTTCTCTCCCTCTCCCCCAAGTCAGCCTGGTTTGCTGTGCCCCCAACCCTCAACTGCTTGTTCCTGTCTTTTCTCTTCTCTGTGTGGCCACTCTGCACATCTGCTCACTTTCTCTCTATCCTGCCTTTCTTTTCTCACATTTGTCTCCCTCTGGGCCTGTCCATTTCACCAGAAGTCCCCAACCCCTGGGCTGCTGGCCGGTACTGGTCTGTGGCTTGTTACTGGCCTGTTAGGAACCAGGCCACACAGCAGGGGGTGAGCAGCAGGCGAGGGAGCTAAGGAAGCTTCATCTGTATTTGTAGCCGCTCCCCAGCGCTAGCATCACCGCCTCAGCTCCACCTCAGATCATCAGGCATTAGATTCTTACAGGAGCACTGGTCCTTGGTGCCAGAAAGGTTAGAACTGCTGCATTCTGGGGAGGAGATGGGTTTCTAAGACCTGGCCCCTCTCCTGGAATTACTTATTCCCAGCCTAGATTGAGGCACAAGCAGGGGCTGCAGGGCCTGAGAGGTGGGGTGCAGCTGATCAAGGGCTGTCCTTGGGAATAGAGACACTGGGGTTCTGTTGGGCCTAAGGTGAGACCTGAATTCTTTATCTTTTCAGATATGAGCCTAGCTCCCTTGGCTGTCACCTTTGCTATCCCAAAGGGCCCCTTGCTGACACCCAGGCTCCCCGGGGTATTCAAGGCAGAGCTCCTTGAACAGGCAGCCTTCCTTCTCTGCCACTTGGGCTTCTGCTGGGAAGCTATCAGGAATCAGGACACTGTCTTTCTGAGTCCCCGTCACAGAGGCCCGTGGTGGTGGAGGAGCCAGCTGACCTAGAATAGGCCCATTTCTCTCATAGGGACAATAGCAGAGGAATATTGCCGGGGTTTAATGTAATGTTGGAGGTATGAGTGTCGGGTATCTGTGAACTTCAGGGCCTTTCTGCAGCTCCCTGGGGGCTGTGGCTATAGATATTCCCTGTGTATGGGGGTGTCTCTCCCTGCTGTGTGTATCTTCAGGGCTTGATGTGGTCTCTTTTATGGCACACTTTCCTTTGTCTTGTGACTTGTGTATGTGTGCATCTATCTCTCTGTGCTAGACAGTGAGCTAAGAAGGGGAAGAACCAGGTCTTCTTGTCCTTTTTGGTCTACTTTCTAGCACAGTCCTGGGACACAGGAGGCGTAAAGAGCAACTCTGTGTCCACGTAGGTTTTCGTCCACGTAGGTTTTCATTCTCCCAGGAGTCTGGCCTCTTTGTCTGATTCTGTACATGCGTGTGTTCCTGTGGACGTGTGGCTCTGTGTTTGTGTCTGTGAGTGTGATCATTCTCTGAGCGTGTGTCCTCTGTGTGTGTAGCTGTGCATGGGTGTGACCTTCAGCAGCCCCCCCCAGCTAACCTGGCTGATGCTCACCAGGACCCTCCCCCCGGCACCGCCTGGAGCCTATGGATACCATCTTTGTCAAGAATGTGAAGGATGAGGGCCCTGCCCATAGGGCGGGGCTTCGCACAGGTGAGCTGTCCCAGTTACCAGGCTCGTAGCACCCTTCTGAGTTCCTTTTCCCTATCCTCTGGGATTCTTGGATCTGAGTGTTGGGGAGGCTCCTGTCTCCCCCTCCCCCACCGTCATCCATCCCAGGTACGAGTGTTCTCAGGTGGGGCCATCGATACCCCCTGGCCTGCTCACATGTGGCCCTGACCCTTGTCCCCAGGAGACCGGCTGGTGAAGGTGAATGGAGAGAGCGTCATTGGGAAGACCTATTCCCAGGTCATAGCTCTGATCCAGAATAGGTGAGCGCCCCCTGCCTCTCTTCTCCCATAATAGCTCCTGCCCACTCACAGAGTTCCTGCACACCCCACCCCCTTGGCCCTGAGGGTGCCCTGGCGACCAGGATCCCTATTCTCTCAGACCCTGTTGCCTCAGCCGGGCCTGACCCCCTGCCCTGTCTCTGTAGCGATGATACTCTGGAGCTCTCCATCATGCCCAAGGATGAGGACATCCTCCAGCTGGTGAGTCCTGCCCTGCTGTTTGAGGTGGAGGACCCCTGGGGCCTGGGGGCCAGAGTACAGCTTTTCTCCTTGGGCCTCCTTCCTGTGTTGGCCCCTCTGGGAGGCAGAAAAGAGAGTGGAGGGGCCAGTGCCAACCCAGCATTGCCCCATCAAGGATGCCAGGCCCATCCCTGGGCTGGGGCTGGTTGTTGCTTCATTCAGGACTGCTCTGTATTGGGGGAGAGGGAGGCTCCAGCTTTGGCAGGCAGGATTCCTGCCAGGGTATCTGGAAGGAGGGTGGCCCAGCGGGCCCTGCCAGACTGGCGTGTTCTTGTCAGATCTTGTGGGACACCTGTTTTCTGCACCCCATCCCTGCCTGGCCCAGAGTGAGTGTGTCTCCCGTAGCTGTGTCCACGCACACACAGCATACCCCACCGCACTCCACTGTCATGTGCTCCTGTGCACACAACACACCTCACACCACTCAATATACAAGCAGAACATCCCAGATACACAGCCACCCAACAAAACCCTGCAGCACCCCTTCATCTAGCTCACCATACACTGCAGTACGTGATAGACACAGTGCACCCAACACTGCACCAGGCATGTGCCACCACACACAAACCCTCAGTGCTGCATACAGGCACTCGCTACCATGCAAACCCCCTTAAACGTCACAGCGCACCACAATCATAACAGCACAACACTCCTCAGCGTCTCCATTCCCCACAAAACAACACCTGCACAGTGTACCACAACACACACACTCAGACTTCTCACCACCACCATGTGAACGCTCACCGACATCACAAATGCTCGCTGTTGTCACAGTATGTCTGCCTACACAGCGTGCTTCAGCCTAACACAGGTGTAAGCGCTCACCAGTATCACAGTAACCAAACCTTACGCACTCATGATGCGCAGTCCGAACGCCCCTGCCGCCGTAGGCACTTCAGCACACCTAGAACTCAGCATTGGGCCTGTCACACACAGCAGGTACCACAGACATTGCATGCAGCATACCCTGCACTCACATGTGTACCTGTTTACCCCACGCACTCCATGCACACATATGCATGCTGTCTGTCTGTGTCCCCCTTTCCGGCCCTGGCCCAGAGCTCAGGGCGTTCCTCTCTGCCCAGTACCCAGTTCCCTGATCTCATGGGTCTCAGCCAGATGCCGCCTTGCTTGGCCCTGAGGTCACTGCTCCTCAAGAGAGGGCCAAGGGCCAAGCCCAGGAGGCCCTGAGAGCGGCCATGTTGGCTTCTGCCCTGGATGTATTCTCATAATCCTGTAATCACAGTGCCATGCTTGGCACCATGCCCCTCTGGGAACCTCCACCCCCTGACCTGAATTGTCCCCTTGCCCTTCCTGGGGAGGGGGAGGCAAGGATGGGAGCCCAGAGAAGTAGATGGCTCCCCACAAGGCTCAAAGGCCCTGCTCATACACCTCCCCGCTCCCAGGCTGAGGGGAGGCAAGCTATGGGAGGGGGTGACAAGCAGGACCTAGGGCGTGTCCCCCTAGAGGGGCAAGAGGTGGAGAGGGCAGCAGCCCGGACCTCGGCTACCCGCTTGGGTGAGCAGCCCCAGATGTCAGTAGCTGGGGGCCTCCATTGGCCCCCCTCATCTGAGGCAGGCCAGAGGGGG